ATTTTTGTTTTCTTTTTCTTGCTCTGGAAAAGTGAGAGGTGATCTCTGGTTGCCATAAGCAACTTGTAAATACCTTTTTGTAGGGATGCACTGATACCATTTTTTCCAGACTGACTAAAAGTACCAATACTTTTCCTTAAGAACTCACTGATGCTAATTACCAAAACCTTTTTTTGTGTGTCATGACCGTTTTTCTAAAACAGTGGAGCACAAGGGCCCAGTTACAGCTGCAACTGCTGCTACCCTGGTAGTTCTGCCACTGACTCCAAGCTGTAGTGGGACTACAAATCTCTGCAATACATTATACAGCAATGGTGAATGGCACCGGCTATAGAGGATTAGAAATCCCAGCTATACATTATACAGCAATGCAGAATACCATCAGCTATAGAGGCCTACAAATCCCAACAATACATTACTCAGCAATGCAGAAAAATACCTTCCACTATAGAGGACTACAAATCCTGGCAATACAGCAATGTAGAATACCATCAGCTGTAGAGGACTAGAAATCCCAACAATACATTATACAGCAATACAGAATGGCTCCAGCTATAGAGAACTACAAATCTCAGCAAAGTAGAATAAGGAGAGAGAGATGTGCGGGCCATGGAAGCACTGTAAACATGTGCCATGATTCCCAAGAAAGCTGTTGAGGTCCTTGGCAAACAGGGGACCTAAGGCAGCCACTTCCATTTGGAAATTTAAAGTGCTGGTATCGGTTTTTAGTATCAGGCATTTTCACAAGTACAATTTTATGTGAAAATGCCCGGTATCCGGGTATTCCCTACTTTTTTTCATTATTACCAGTCCACCGCTTGATGCTTTCCTTTCCAGCATTGTCCCATCACTGCTTCTTCATCAGAGCCACCACCAGAATACCCGGTGTCAGCTGGTGTTGAATCTCAGGGAGTGAAATTATGCCACCCCCGCTCTCATCTCACTGTAGTAGGGCCTGGCGATTGTCAGCTAGGTCTAGGAAATGCATCATGGAAGTGGATCACATGTTTCCCCATACTTGGAAGCACCATGTGTTTTGCAGCAATAGACACAGAGCTTCAGGGGAGTACTGAAAAGTTGAGTATAAGGTGGTTGGCCTTTAAAGAGACCCTGTCATTTTGTCCTGAATGGGTAAGGCGACAGGGTCTTTTTAGGGTTCTTGCACTTTTATTAATATAAATGTTTACATACCTCCTCCATTAATGGCCTGTGTTCTACAAAGATATTGTGATGTAAAATGTGTGTGTAATATGTTCTACAAAAGACTGCCTCTTAATTATTATAATGTAGATAAAGATGAGATCACATTTTAGTCAAGCCAAAATCCAGGGCATTCCTAAGGTTCACTGTTTTCCTGACAACCATATTTATTTTAAGGCTGTAATACATTTTGTATGCTTTGTTGCAGGTGATTGAAGATGGATTACATCACTAACCCTGGTACTCTGTCATTGGCAGCAGGAATAGCCTGCGGTTTTATACTAGGCTGGAGCCTGCGTGGTCAAATTGGCCGTTCAAGGAATGTAACAAATGTAACAGGAAGCGATGCGGGAAGTGAAGCAAGTGTGATGGGAGAGAGCGGCGAATTCAAGATGGTACTGGTCGTCCGAAACGATCTGAAGATGGGAAAAGGAAAAGTTGCTGCACAGTGTTCACATGCTGCAGTATCCGCTTACAAGCAGCTCATTAAGAGAAATCCCGAATTACTTAAGCAGTGGGAATATTGTGGTCAGCCCAAAGTAGTACTGAAAGCTACGGATGAAGATGCTCTGGTTGAGCTTCTCACCCAGGCAAAGCAGCTGGGACTAGCTATTAGTCTGATTCAGGATGCAGGTCGCACACAAATAGCACCAGGATCAAGAACTGTACTTGGGGTGGGACCCGGTCCTAGCGATTTAGTTGATAAAGTAACGGGACATTTAAAGCTCTATTGAGGTTTATTTTGCTTAATAAAACAGGAAAAGAAACCTAATTTGTCTTTTATTTATTTGTTTACAGTTTTTTATACGTGAAGGCAGTATATATATAATTGTTCCATATTGACATACAAAGTCTCTTTGTAACCAAAAAGGGCGTCTGTTGTGAGACCCACAGCCCACACTTTTGCATATTTTGACTCATGCATGTCAAATAGGATTTGAGCTTTCAGTTTGGAGAATACCAATGAAAGATGGCTGCTGCATACTTTGTATACTGCTACTGCAGTTTGCTGGGGTGCCTTGTAGTACAGATGTTCCTCACTTACCGACTTACCTGTTTTGCGACCACTCGCACTTACGATGGACCGCCGATCGACCTCCGACCTTGCGCGTCAGCGTGACGTGTCCCCGGCGGAAGTGACATCCTCCGATCTTCACTGCAGGTCCCGGTAAGTATTTCCATTGCCCGATGTACAGTACACTGTTCGGTACTGTACATCTGCAATGCTATACAGTTCTGTACTAATGCAGTACAGTACTGTATAGAGTTCCTCACTTAACGACCAATCCGTTTAACGACCTGGTCGTAGGAACGGAACTCGGTCGTTAAGTGAGGAATACCTGTATTGTAGTTTCTACATTACTTTACCTTTTTCAGAAAATGTAGTCGAGTTTCATTTTTGAACACAAGTTAGTACACTATCTTTCTCGCCACCTATCTGTTGTAAAATGTTCTTGCACTCCTTATTATACTGCCTGTCCAATGGTATTCTCTGAAAAATGGCCAGGAAATCATACATTCTGCCAGGGTATGTAAACTTATGAGCACAAGTGTACATCCAATACAAAAAATGTACATACCTATATCAGTGAAGATCATATCGGAGACATAGAAAGGCCATTCTACAGACCATTGGAATTAAATAACATTGAGAACAACATAAGAGAGCAGACAGAAGTGTGTTTATATCATAAAACGTTTTTCCAGTCATATGAACAAGTTCAAGATATCAAAAAAATTTATGCTTTGCATGGGCCACCAACAAGAGCATTAGTCACAGACCATGAATTAAATGGTCCAATCAAGTATCCGTCTAGAGGGTTACAGGGAGAGAATTTCAAAGATTACCTGTCCCATATTTTATATTTGTTTTCACAGCCCTGATGTTTAAAGCTTATTTGATTTTTAATAAGGCAGCAGACTACATAGAGTATTCTTTACTGTCCCACAAATGACACTCAATTGTATTGGGAACAGCAGCATTTCCCGGAGTAAAGGTATTCACACAAAAGCAACATCATTTTTACCTGTGCAGTGCATTGTTGTACACCTTGTTTAGCTTTTTCCCACTAGTACAGTAATTACTTTTCATGATACTAACTTACCACCTGATTTATTTAGGATAGCCCTGCAGTACAGCCATTTTAGCATAACCCATTTCTCAACCCGTACCAGCATAAAAAGAAGCCATGTGTATTACATGGCAAGTGATGTAAAGAATGGGTTACACTAATGACAACGGGGAAATTTATCAAAACTGGAACAGATTTGCACTGCAAACAATCCGATTCTATCTCTCATTTTAAAATCTTACCTGAGCAAACTGATGAGAGCTGCTGATTGGTTGCCGTGGGCAACTTCTCCAGATTCTGTTTGCTCCAGTTTTAATAAATTCAGCAATTCACAATGTTCAGCGACTAGCATAGTATATAACAATGTATGATCTGAGCGAGAAATAATGGATTTCAAGCTCTCTGGCTGAGATCTCCAACCTCTGATACGGCTCATAGTAGTGATGTCAGTTTCAATTTGAGTAGAGATAGAAGAGTGTAAAAATGTTAAAGAAGGAGGG